ATTGGTTCCATATTTAAAAGCCCTGTTTTTGTGGATTCCATGGGTCAATTCAGTTTCATGATGGCATTTGTGCTATTTTCTCTGTTTTCTAATGCCGCATCTTCTTCTATTTATTGTTTGTTATTTGGTTAGACCCAACAGTAAGTGCTACTGTTAAAGCTTCAAGACAAGAGTTGTTTCTGAAAATCTTGTATGAATACATTTACAACTACTTTTGATGTCAAGATTATTGCAGGTTATCAATTTTCATTTATTCTTCAATATGTCTTGTAATGGTATACACTATGAATGAAGTGTCCCACTGTCCTGTGGTCTTTGATTGTAAAAATGGTTCCTGTATGGTAGGGAGGGGTATTAGACATCAATTCTTTACATATCACATATAGTTTGGGATAATTTGCCTGTTCTCCTCTGATCTTTGCATGAAACCAGCAGGAGTTTACATCTTAATTATTTTTGTCTCTTTTTTGTATTTGTAAAGGTAAGTTCAAATACTGTTATGAATAAGCCAATTTTAAAATGGTTTATTACAGGTAATCAAATCAGAAAGCATAAGATAGTGGGCGGCATTCAATTTTTCGATCAACACTCCAAACAGTTTCCCTTTGTTTGTAACAAATTAACTAAATAAAGAGAGGCAATAGTAGAGTCTATATATTTCACACAAAATAATTTATAACACTTCATCTATTACTTTTTCCCATTTTAATGTCTTGTACGTGAAATAAATCAAAGCTGATATAGAATTAAGCTGTAAATGAAGGAGATGTCTCACAATGCTAATATCAATGGTTTATCATGGACCTTTATGCTGCACTGATACACTGCATTAAATTGTGTTCAAAATGCTTATTTATGAAGGATTTATAACTTTCTTTCACCCTAGATACTGTATAAATCACACTCCCCAATGGTAACTTTTAGAGATCATAAGCTGATTACTATAAGCTGATCATAAGCATTATATAAGTTATGGGATTGTTACTAAATGAAGACTGGGATACTATAATTTACGATGCAATATATGACTAACAATTTTCTGATCATTGTTAAACGACCGAAATTGCAGAAAAAATTTAGGGTCATGTATTTGCCATTAATCATAAAATTAAGATATCTTTTGCAATTTCTGATATGATACACAGCTACAATATACAATGTATTTTCATTTCCAGTCTAAAATATAATATGTTTACTCCAATATGGACCTCCGATATAATTGTTCTTTACATGTCTTATGCTATTGTTAATATCAAATTGCTAATCAAAAATACATATACCAAAAAATATATAAAAGCGAAAGGCTGAGGATATAGAGCAAACGGCCAGGTAGTCACTACTCCGTATTATTTAGAAATACATTAGAAACAAATGCGGATCATCCAAATTATAGAAGTAAAAAGTGGATTTAGGATGTGGGAGGATATACCTTTTAATAATGACCTGTTTTATTAGTTGCCCATGGGACCATAAATCATGGGGAAGTAGAAAAGATATTCTGGGGAGAACAATTTTGTATCATTGCTGAATTACTATAATGAGATGAACAAGCCTATAAGGCATGTATAGAATGAGAAAACATCATTTGACTGATTTAGGATAAAATCCAAGGCAAAACATCTACATGTAATTTATTAACCACACAACCTTTTTCGGTTTTGTGGTTAATTTCCAAGATTGAAAATGTACTTTTTCTAGAAGCTTGATATTAAATAGTACATATATTATCAAAGCATTTTTTCATTTGGATACAATGCAACCTCTTCATCAAAGCAGACTATGGTTTTTTAGAGCAAACAGTTATGCTACAATAGATACATCTAATCAATTACACCATTGTTAGTTGACGGAAATAATGAATTTACTCTTTTAGAACATCATTTATTCTGCTCAGAATGACCTTCTCACATTCGTTCACTAAATATATAATTCAATCACCTAAAGTACAATCTTCTTCATGAATTTTATATCAGACAGGTAGGCCTACTGCATGATGCTGATTCCCGTGACAAACATTACATAATACTCTGAAATTTAAATAGAGTGGCAAGTTGTCAAGTGATCAAAATAATCAGACAGGCTAAAAAGGTTATACTCTCAATTATTCAGAGATGAGAGAATACTTTTTGATATTGTATTCAAATCTATGTGAAATACATAGAATAGAATATGTGTTACCAAAGATAAGAAGTAGGCATGGGTTCTCTCTGAGTTACAGCGACTTATCTATCTCAGGCTTCCTCATATGCAAATCTTTTCTTAATTTCATCATGGTTGTTTCCATTTATATCTAGATTTGAAAAGAAAGGGTGATGCATTAATAAATGAGATTAAGAATCGCAATTCATTGCTCGTAGTTCTTTCAACTTAGTAATGTGATATGAAGATATTTAAGAGACTTCAGAAAAACCAAGAAAGATACTTGTCCTAGTGGCCATGTTTTAAAATCTGATAGTAGAGGTAAATGAATCAAATGATCAATAAATAAAGTAGATACATGAAGTCAATATACTCCAAATCCTACAGAAATGTCCGCAAATCAGATCATCCATTCAAATGTGAGAGATGTGGGGTGGAATAATGATGGAAGAACATAAATTTTAGTCCTGGGTTGTCATGTTTATGATGTTATCCTGACTTTCTTAAGGTACTTGCATCAAACCACGCAACTCGTTCTGTAAACATAATAAACCTGAAAGAATCACTAGATTTATGATATAATATCCAATCACTGATGCTAAGAACTTTATTAAATTACATGGTATGATTTAAAAATGAAAATGGCAATAGACGCTCAAAACAACTAGATGAAGACTATAATCTGAATTGCTTTATTAGCAAAGTTAAATGCACACAGGAGGAAATGAGCAATCAAAAATGGACTTATTATAGATCATTACAAGCTTGGGAGATTTATCAAACTAAAATAGAGAGTATAATCAAAGCGTAAAAACAAAGGAAATAATATATGTTAACACTAAGGGATATGCATATTAATTTAAGTAATATAAAAAATATGAACTTTGAATATAGCTGCACATCATAGCTGCACAAGTGTGCCGAGATCATGATGAACTTGATATCTTTGATGTCCTTTTCGAAATTAATGGAATGGTGAGCTACTAAGTGTCGTCAGAATTGAGAGTAAAGGAACAAGAGGAAAATGGAGCAACCTAATAAAGAACAAGCATTGAGAATCTTTGAGTGTTGAAGTGATGACAAAGTGATGCGGATGTACACCTAAATTCATTAGTTCAACACTGCAAACATAGTTTAGGGCAATGACACTTGGGACTTACTGTTACATATGGTTCTTCAATATAGGCTTTAATCTAAAATTTTGATTTACCTTTAGTGACTTTTGCAAACAAGTGTAATGACTTTCAGTATGGAAGAATGCCCCATGGTAGTTAAGAATGGTGATAATAATTCCTGAATAATGAGGAGGGGTGTACGACATTACATTCTTGTATATTAGAGCATATTTTGGGATATTGGGTATTGTTTTAAATGACCTATATGCTCTCAGATGTTTCTTTTTCTTGAATTGCTATATATTGTTATACTCTGTGCAGTGGTCTTTCCCTTTTTGGCACTTGTTCTTACATATAATGTTCTACGTGAAATACATGTATAGCAAATTCAACCATCTACAGGATTAATTCAATCTAATATTTTGGAATTTTCATGGGTGATACTATTACTTTATGCCTTCAAAAACATCATAACCAAAGATTTTATCATAGGCCTCCAGAGTTAATCTGACATTTTCTTCAGTCCATTAAGATTAATTTGATTCATTGAGACTAAGCTATACTGCAAGATCCTGTTCATTGTGAAAAGAAGAGTACGGATTGACAAGGTGGCAACATTTTTCTAGAGAGGCTATGACACTATCCACAAAACTGGCCAGAACAATACAATTTTCTTATGTGCAGCCCTTTTATTTTCTGAGGTAGATATTTGGAATTCTAAGAGACAAAATAGTTGACGTTTAACAAATCATTTTTTGTCATAAACACCAGCAATATTTCACTGTCAAATTATAGTTACATCAGCTGCTTATCAGAGCATTCTGCCTTTTTAATAGCTCTATCCTAACTTACCTAAAAAAACAGCTAAATATTGGGTGACCCAAAGAAATTAAAATCAATCAGAAATCCAAATCAAACAGGAATAACTTTTTTCTTAATCAAAAAGGCTGGACTTTCAAACAATAAATTTCTGATTAGCATTTAAAAATTCATATTCATTTTTCAATTACTTGAGAAATTTAACATTTTATATGACATGCCATTAATAACTTCCCTTACATTTGATGCAGAGCTGAATGCAATTTCAAACATTGAAAAATGGGTGATGGTTCAAGAACAGTTTTTTTCTAAAACTAAAGATGTTCATGTTAATTAAATTGTCTGTCACATGACTAAATTTCAGGAATATTCTTTTATCACTCATCCCATGTTTGTCTCAGTGTAAATTTTTGAAACACCAAACTTGGAAAACAGGTGGTGGTACTAAGACAAGCTTTTCATTCGAGTAGAGTTACACAGTGAAACCTTTAGATCTTAATGATTATTATATTGTCTGTCAGATGAGGATGGATGACCCAGTTTCAGGGATATTCCTTTATCACTGAAGAGGGATATTCCTTCATCACTCGATTATTCCATGTATTTGTGCAATTTTGGGTAGACACCCTGTAGATTATCATAGCCTCAGACTGAATTAATCAAGAGTAAACTGTTGGTGATGAGAATATAACTTTTACGTTCCTTCATTGATTGAGAAAAAACAACAATTTCGTCGAAACGAATGGAGTTTGTAAACAGAGCAGATAAACATAATAATATGGCAGTGATGAATTGGGTTTAAAGTGTTCGGCTTAAACATAGTAACATTTTCGAGTAACAAGTCACATCAAACCAATCATATAATATTTCTGATTGTACTGTTGATCATCGTATAATATTTCTGATTGTACGATACTTTCTGAAACTATGCAAATTATGATATTAACGATGATTCACGAGCAAAGCTTCCGATGTATGTAAACATAGGAAAAAAAATCGGAAAAAGTGCATCATCTAAGGAAAAGGAAAACCTTGTAAAACAGGAACCAATATGATTAAAATAGTAGAATAATTTGTGAAAATATATTTCTTATTAGGAGGATATACTAATAACAGCATTTAATAATACTCAAGTGTGATATGGACATGAAATAAGGATTACATATTAGAGAGCTTTCAGAAAAGAAACACAAAATGGGGATCACAACTAGTATTCACAATGTAGACTGGTAAGATTATAAATTATCATAATCTTAGGCACCTTTCTGAATGAGTTAATATATAGTTTTCAAAAGCAGCAGTTTGTGCTGTTTATTTTTCTACCTAAATCATCAGAATGTTAGACCAATAACAGGGAAAATCTGCAGTTTCACTTATAACATTTTATCTCTTGCCACACTGCTGGTAACAGGTTAAACCAGCTTTTCTTTGAAAAGTGTAAACAAGCAATTCATATATCAATAGGATTTTTAGGTTTTAACAGTTTTACATCCACCAATATTTCTTGTTTTGGAGCAGCTTAGCCCTTTGGGAATGATATAATAAAACTATTATCTGCATATATATCAAGATAAGGATGAAAGAATACAGGGCCTTTGGAGGAAAACACAATAACACAATAACTCATAAAAATTATAAAGGTTAACATATTGTATATGTATTGCATTTACAAAACATTAAGAACAATTTGTGCTTACTTATTTGTACATAAATTAATATAATATTTTCATATTTCTATTTGTCACATATATATGATCTCAATGAAGAGCCAAGGTAAACTCTACATTGCAGTAAACTGCAAAAACTGTAAACTTCCATCAACCTGACTATTTTAGGAACCATGACCCACAATGTTAATACATATATGTATATATGACTTTGGGACATGTCTCTAGCTAGGGTAATGTAAATAAATGAAATAAAAAAAGCTTGGGTCAATTTGTTAGTTCATGATGAAAGGTTTTATTTTACTGCCTTTTTACAATAATAAACATTAAAGTACATGAATTTTTTTCTCCAGGTCAAGTGACTTCCTGCAAATTCTGTTGAAACTATTCAAGAAGGCACAAACATCGAAAACTCGTTGCATCACAATGGCTGACTTTATGGACTTCAACATTACTGAATTTAATATATTTTATACAGACTCCGCAAACTGGCTTGATAATTACAACTACACATACGCTGATGATTACCATGGCACTGAATTTAGCTATTCTGACAGGCCAGGACTTATCCTTGGTATTGTATTATGTGCGATAACCATACTAGCAAATGTTGCATCTTTGGTTGCACTTTGCTCGTTACGTCAAGGATCTTCGAATCGTGGGTTGATCATCAGTCTTTGTTTCTCAGATGTCTTCACAGCATTAAGCGTGGTTGGCATGGAGATTGAAAATGCACATTTTAATCCGTTATATAGTTATGGCGAGCCAGGCTATCCAAGCAAAATCTGCATGCACATGATCCTGAAAGGACTACAGATTTCTGCACATATTATTTCATTGTTCAATTTACTGGGACTTGCTTTTGACCATTATATAAAGATTCTGAAGCCAATGAAATATCAAACTTTAATGAGCAGGAAGAGAATGAGATCAATGCTTGTCTTCTTTTGGACATCTGCCTTCATTTTAGGCTTTTCTGATTTTTGGATAGCAACAATATCTACTTACCATTTCTGCAATGAGAAGTGCGATCCAATTGTCAACTACTGCGACAGAGTGTTTTGCTCTCGATATGAGCCAGAGTATATTATGTTTGCAGTCACATTCCTGTGCATCATTGTGATGACGTATATCTACATCTTAATATTCATTCGTATCCGACGATACCATATATTCACAAGAGAAAACTCAAACAATACAGCTCGTAATCAACGAGGTCTTGTCACAACATTTCTTATCGTAGCTACGTTTGTTGTATGCTGGTTACCGTACCTTTTATTCACAATAACAATGCTTATTAAAATGTACAGTACCATAGATATGGCCCCCATACTAGAGGTTTACAAAATCTTCAAAAACAATGAATTCTACATTTTTGACATTGTCCTCGTAAACTCTATTTGCGACCCTATATTGTATGCGGTGCGCATGAAAGATATTCGCAACCAATACAAGACTCTTCTACATAAAATAGGAATATGCTCTCCAAGTCATCTGAATTCCTCGTCCTTAAAGCTTTCTTCCAAAAGCTTGGTTAAGGATGGAAGTGTAAACATGTCCAAATTATCTTCACATAAATCAAAAACAAACAGAACTGTAACTACATGTAATGAGCATGTTCCATTGGCATAATCATATTCCTTGATGTGACAGAACAAATAATTTGGGACAGCACTGGACAGGAATTATCAATGTCAGATCAGGACGGGACCAAATAAAAATATAAGTCTAAGATCACAGTTTTCATGCATTTGAGTTTAGTTTTGTGGCCATATACAGAACATCTAGGATGTCCTGGACAATGGACCAAAAACATTTGGGACACAGGTGTTGTGCCATGGTTTCCCATCCAAAGACTGAGACAATATTGGAAACCATGGCATCTCTAGTAACGACACATATAATAAGAGAAAGTGATATTGTGTAATTATGAACTTCATAGAAACCACAGATAATATGTTATGACATCACAACCTAGAGCCTATAGATTTTAACTGACAATAGCACATATCAAATTGCTTCATTATTTGTGATATCGAAGTTCATATTTTGTATACAATATGATGCTTGAATTGGTTGCCACAGGTGATTGTTTGTTGTATCATACATGTTTGTGATTGTTTTACATGTGGACATGACACAGTGTGTTGATCCATCAAAGCACATGTACAAGATACAATTCTTAAGACCCCCCCCCCCCCCCCCACTTCATACAACAAAATTTTAGACTTGTCTATTTAGATATTGAAAATATTTAACCTTTAAAATGATACAGTATAGTCAATGTACCATATAGAACATAACTATTTTTATCCTGATTTGAAGTTGGGTATTGTTTTTTTGGCCCACCCTGTATATAAACGAGATTCTGAATGTGAGAGATTCAAGGATTTGAATTCAGAATATCTGATATTAGAGATTGCAAACAGAAAATGATAAATGCAATATCAAATTGGTTAAAATGACTTTGCTTAAAATAGAATTTGTTCCAGAAATGACAAATATTATTAATGAAAAGTTTCAATAAAATTACTTTGATATCATAAATGATCAAAAAGTCAGACTAATATACTGTACAAATGGTAACTGATGTTAAAGAAACACTTGCAGTAAATTTTTTAAATGTTTGGAACTTCTTTGAATTTCAAAAATAAGCAATCAAAGGACCATATTGAAACAGTATATGTAAAAATAGAAACATTTATACATGTCCTAACTTTTGTATATTTTAGTTTGTTTAGCTATCATATCTGTGGCCTTGATGCTTCACTGCCAATTTGATTGCTATTTTTTAAATTCAAAGTAGTTCCAAACATTTAAAATTTTACTGTAGCAAGGAATTGTAAACAGGAAGTTGGTTTATACATAAAGTATAGACAGATCAACTAAATACTATTATGGCATTGTGCTACAGCCAAAATCAAACACTACATTGTACCACATGCACTGTCCCAACCAGATAAACACATTGTACTCATTGGTCCTTATACTGATATCAAATCACTGATGAAATAAAATCAAGAAAAAAAACATTTATCCCATATGTACCTGTTTGATATAAATAGGAGTGTTGTACAGTGTATTGAGAAATACATATATTTGACCATTACCAGCGCAAAGATAAGTTTGTCAAGTTTTGTCCTAGTATTATTACTTATTACATATATCTGTTATTCACATAAGACAAGAAAGCACAAAAGGAAATATTGGATAAAAAACATGTAGTGATAGTTCCTAAAAACCACATGAAAAATGGCCCCTCATTAACTCCAAGGAGTAGCAAATCCCAATGAACAATATATCAATTACCAAAATTCAAATCAGTAATACTCATTACTTTGATTAGAAATGAAAAATTTAGATTTTAAAATTGCGAATTCATAATTGTGATCTACTCTAAAATTCGTTCAATTCGTGTATAATATAGCCATACTTTGAAGGGATCAAAACATTATTGCGAAATCCCACCCACATTAGGCGGCACTTTTGAATTTAACGAGGCCCGAGTCAGAAAAAAGTGCAATGTGAGTGACGGACGGACGGACGGACGGACGGACGGACGGACGGACGGACGGACAGACAGACAGACAGACAGACAGAGGGCGTCACTGTATCCCTACCGGACTTCATTCGTTGGAATAATAACAGTATAATTTGGCAAAGACCATAACAACAAGTCTGAAATCTCAAAAGCCATTATCAATTAAAAGTTTCCACATCAATTTGTATTAATCCTCCATTTATCTTGTACAATAACAGCTGTCAAACCTTTAACCTAGATCAGAATAGGATACTAGGATTATGCCGTTGAATTCATTTCTATGATCCAGCAGTATTCGTTATCAAGCCCACGTCTATATGTAGTTAACTTTTCACTCAGATCATGCTTGTTTTCTCGCTTCTCCTAGATAATGTGATTGTAATGTCTGATTTTTTACATTTCTATATAATTTAGAGTGTTGACTTTGTCTGTTTATTTCATTCATTCCTATTTTCACTTTTTTTAGTTAAAAAGGATGGTTTCTGCATTTTTATTATAGTCATAACCAAGTCACAGTCACTTTGACCTCTCTTATACAGTAATTCAATAAAGTTTTATTAAAAAGGGTCGATAATGTTCACAACAACTTGTCTACTATTATTGTGCCTAATACAGATGTGAGAAAGTTTGAGAAAGACTTCTCAGTTATTGGAATTTCAGAAACATGGCTGAATGACAACATTGCTCCTTTATGTAATCATTATAAATATAATTCATTTTTTGATCACAGAGATAATCGTGGTGGGGGTGCAGGCTTATACATACGTAAAGACATTGAGTGCAAGGACAGACCGGACCTACAACTCGATCACAATGAATGTAATTCTGTCACAGTTGAAATTGTTAACTCAAATTCAAGGAACATCATCATTTCTTGCATTTATAAACCCCCAGATATTAATATTAATGCTTTTAATAGAAGGTTTGAACCATTACTTCGAAAAATTACTTCCGAAAACAAACTTGTCTATATTATGGGTGATATGAATATTGATTTACTTAAGGTTGAACAAAATAATTCTTCCAATGACTACATAAACATGCTATTCTCTCATAATTTACTCCCTCTTATATACAAACCCACTCGAATTACATCTCATACAGCCACTTTAATAGATAACATTTATACAAATGTACCAAATGTAGCCTTAGCAGGTATGATAGTTGACTCTACAACTGATCATTTACCTATTTTTGCTATTGCCGAACAGAAAGTGAAATCTCAGCAAGATAAGGAAATAAAATTTAGACAGATTAATGAAAAAACAATTGCTAATTTTAAAAATCAGCTAAGTGACATTAACTGGGGTGACGTATATGATTGTGATAACCCAAATACTGCATACTCCTTGTTTTCAAGTAAAATGTCATCAGTTTATGAAAAATCATTTCCAATTAGGACAAAAAAGATCAAACATTTTCAAAATAATGAAAAACCATGGCTTTCTAGTGGTATTTTAACGTCTTGTAAAAATAAAAATAAACTTTACACAATTTATTTGAAAAACCCTACGCCGGAAAATAATACTTCATATAAAAATTACAAAAACCGCCTGAAACATATTATAAGAATAGCAGAAAAAAGATTTTATCAAGCCAGATTTTCTGAGGCATCTTCTAACATCAAAACTACTTGGAAAATACTTAATGAAATTATGCAAAGAAAGAAAAAAAATTATAAGCCTTTTCCAAATAGATTTTTTGATAGGAATCAGTCTTTTTCAGGTAAAAAAGATATAGCAAATGGGTTCAATGATTTTTTTGCAAATATTGGAAAAAACTCTTCTGATGCTATAGGTCACTCTGATAAAACTTATGATGAATTTTTAAATAAGATACCTAAGGTTGTTAACTCTATTTTTCTTAATCCTGTTGATAATGAAGAAGTTACTAAGTTGCTACTTAATCTAAAAGACTCTGCTGCAGGTCCTGATGATTTCAAGCCAAAAATTATTAAACTACATAGTGACCTAGTTTCTCAACCATTGACTCATCTTATTAATCTATCTTTCACTCATGGAATTTTCCCAGAAGACTTAAAATTTGCCAAGGTACTACCTATCCATAAGAAAGACAGAATGGACACTTTTACTCATTATAGACCAATTTCTCTTTTATCTGTTTTTTCGAAACTTTATGAAAAATGTATGGCCACAAGAATTGTTGATTTTTTGGAAAGACAGAACATCCTGTATGCTCACCAATACGGCTTCAAAAAAGACAACTCCACATTCATGGCAATCTTGAAATTTGTCGAAACTGTGCGCAGGGCAATTGAAGAAAAATCATACTGTATTGGAATCATGTGTGATCTTTCCAAAGCGTTCGATACATTAAATCATGACATTTTGTTACAAAAGTTAGATCACTATGGTATTCGGGGAACTGCCTCCGATTGGTTCAAAAGTTATCTTTCAAATAGGTCACAAGTTGTTGATATTGAGGGTACTCTCTCCAATACTGCTAATTTGTCTTTTGGTGTGCCACAGGGAACTATATTAGGTCCCCTCCTCTTTATTATCTATATTAATGACATCTACAAATCCTCTGACGTTGCTGAAATGTTTTTATATGCTGATGACACTAACATGTTATTTTCTGGTAAGGATCTTGAACAACTTAACTTGACCATAAATCATGAGCTTTCTACTATAAGTGAATGGTTCAAATGCAACAAGCTTTCTTTAAATCCTGCTAAACTAACTATCTTGTTTTTAAATCACCTCAAAAAGTTATTGATTATGACAAAATCCAAATATCCATGAACAATACTGTCATACGTAGGACTGAAGTAAGTAATTTCCTAGGGGTGCTTATCGATGAACATCTTTCCTGGAAGCCTCACATAAGACATGTTGAAACAAAAATATCAAAGACTTTGGCAGTACTCCATAGAGTCAAACAAAACTTAGATTACAAAGCACTAAAAACGATATACTACTCTCTTATTTATTCTTACATCAATTACAATATTATAATCTGGGGGAATGTTCCACCTTCATACCTACTTAAAATCCATAGATTACAAAAACAATTCATAAGAATACTTTTTAATAACTGTAAGCCTAGAGATAATACAGCCCCTTATTTTAAAGAGGCCAGCATACTAAACATCTTCCAAATTGTTGAACTTAACACTGCTCTCTATGTATTTAAATGTGTTAAAGGCATCAATAAAACTTATGAGAGACAATTTAATAACTACTTCACCCCAAATAGAGAAATTCATGAACACCTGACAAGACAGCAATTAAAACTGAGACCTTCGAAATTTAGAACTAATATTGGACAATTTTCTATCAGTAAACAGGGACCTGATTCCTGGAATAATCTCACAGATGACCTGCAACACATTAACTCTCCTTCTAAATTTAAAAGTAAATTGAAATTAAAATTGTTGTCATGAAGTATATGTTCAATCCAATACACTATTATTTTGACCATTCAGCAATATATTTTAGTGTGAAATTATATACTGTTTCTTGCAATTTTCAAGTATCTAATCTAGGTACATCACCTTTCATTCTGGCACAAAGCAAAATTTTATTTTACATATCCTTACCATATGAGCGAACAGGCCTCGGAGAGGGGGTAGGTACAGGCGATTTGATCAATTCATTTTGTAATTTCCTACTTTGTGGATAATATCCCCAATAGGGGGTCTTCCACTTCATGTAATTGTAATATTATACAATATAAGGAAATAAATAATAATAATAATAATAAAAAACTTTGTGAATCAAATAACAATTGTACCATTCATTTAATTAAGAGATATGAACAGATGTCAATCATTGTACACTGCCAATCAGATGTGAACATGTGTCAATGACTCAATCAGACATGAATTTTTGAGGGTTCACTTTTAAACAGGCAATGCACCTATTTTTGAATGAAAAAGGACAAAATATTGTTTGAGACATGTTACTCACACAGTCAATCAATTATGATGAAAACTTTAATTTGGGATAATACTGAAGTGAAAAAAAATTACTTGCATAGAAAACAGCATTTGAAGTTCAGAGATTGAAAAAAGTGAATTACCACTTTTCACAAATAGTGTATGTTTTAAATAACTCTTGGATTAAAAGATGGCGTATGCTTGAAAATCCTGTCAAAAATGAATTGATAATTAATGCAAACAACAATGCCATCTTTCTATGGCATTGCTAAAAACTTAACATATATAAATTGATAGATCAAAAATATTTTGTCATGATCAAGTGTCAACTCTGATGTGGTCTGTTTGAGCTTTTTTTGGTGTCAAATGAAAGATCGGGTACTTATTAATCCATTGGAAATACTATGAAGATCAAAAGTGAGACTTCATTTACACACTTTGTCCCTTTAAGGTTATGAATAATTATAGGCGCTTCATCACTACATGCAAACTGTGCATGCAGAAAATGCTTGGTGAGGATATCATGCATTCACAGTATTTTTGAATTTGAATAATTTTAATTAAATTCGAAAATTACCACAGGTTCTGCAACATGAGCACATGATATCCACACAAAGCATTTTCTGCACGCACAGTCTACATAATGTGTTTAGTCCTTTTGCCACCTTTACTGTTCATCTCACACAACACTACTTTATTGACCATAACCTGGTAGCTGGCACCCCTAGTGGAATCATTTAAAGAGATGCCATATGGAGGTGTCCCGTTATGACTGTTACCCTATTTTAGCTCATCCTACTAGACCGAAATGTTTTCTTCACATGGTAATAGTCATTACCATATTTTAGCTCACCCTATCATACCTAAATGTTTTTTCACATGACTATGGTCATTACCATATTTTAGCTCATCCTACTAGATCTAAATGTTTTCTTCACAAGGTAATGGTCATTACCATATTTTAGCTCACCCTACCATACCTAAATATTTTTTCACATGGCTATGGTCATTACCCTAATTCAGCTAATTCTAAACATTTTTCATGTTATGGAAGACAAAAAGATGGAGTATCAGAATACCAAAGGTGACAACTGCCATCTTTTCTAAAGGTAAACAAGTTAAAAGTTTGCTTACCATTATGAAGTGTCCAAAGACGTTTGTTGCAAAAACTTGCCGTAGGCCTTCTTCTGTTGTAGAGTCTACCTGCTCAATGAGACCTATTCCTGTTCTGAACATGTGGAGCGCTACTTCTCTGAAAAAATGTTAATGGTGGGGTGTCACTTATAATGTATTTTTGTATTAGGTGTTGGTGGTACCCCGGGGTTGGTACAGACCAATCAATTGTTTGTAAATGGATCTCTCTTGAAAACGCATGGCGATAGGGCATTAACAATGTCATTCATTGGCAAACGATGTTTTCCTGATTTCATCTGCCAATCAGAGTATATACATAATCCATACTAATATATTCCAGTATAGAAGGGAAATTTGAACAAATCACAACTTCATTTTTCAATTGAAATCCTCTAGAAAACTCCATCAGGATGAACAATTACATATGTACATGTACATATTACCCTGTGCACAGAGTCTAGTTATAAACTATGTAGCTATTTTTTAAGAAACAAAGTCAAACGAATACAAAAGGTATGTAGTACATGTACATTGGAAATACAGTATGCTTAATTACCTCGAAAATAAGTTCTTTAACAAAAAAGTCCAATTGAATTTGACTTCACCCATAGCACCAGCATTCATGAATACATAGTCAAGCTGAGAATACCTGAAAATAATAAAAAAAAAATTAAAAAAGAATATCATTTTACTCCATTTTCTAATAATTAAATACCGTCTTAAAGATTGTTTTATCTATTCATCTATTTGGACACTACATGTATGCTTTTGAAGCAGCTGAATGTATATCCATTTCATGTTTAAAATGAAAAACATCTGAACTGATTTAATTATTGCACTTGTAATGTTTGAATAGAGAAATAAAAAAATAAAATAAGCATAACATTATTGTTTGATCCTTAATTTGCATTATTAAATGAAATGAGATTCTTAAAAGTTCTGTACATGTATATAAATTCTCTGTCCTACAGTACAAGTAATTTACATGTATATGAGTGGAACTGAATATAAGATGGGAGTCCAACTACATTATACTGTGGGGCGCAATATACTTGAAATAATAGATTCTGATTGGTGTATTACCACCAGTCTATTAGCAACAATGTATACTAATTTATACCTATTTTTTATTTCCTGTACAGCTTTGAATACGGATTTCACACATCCTACATCTACGATAACAATATCTATAGTTGCACCAGGTCTTCCTGCTTCCAGAGCAAGTTTGGCGGCTGTTGCCTTCAATGGATTTCTGCAAGCGAGGCATAATCTCAGGTCATGGTCACATTGTAGAAGACGTTCTGCAACTGCAAGGCCAATCCCCCTAAAATTATTCAATAGAATCCGGGAATTGTTAAATTTGAAAATCCAGGATTTATTACAATTTAAAATATTCTAAGGGATTCCAATGATTGTTTTTCCCAGTTTTATCACCATCACAAATTGCGCGAAATTAAATCTCATGCAAAATACCAGGATTCGGTTAATCAGCTAAGAGGAGGGAAAACCCCAGAGCTTTATAGACAACAGACATAATTAAGTCTCTTGCTTACCACCTTCGTTTGTCCGAATTATCACAGGTTAAATTTCAAATATAACACGTCATTGTGTGATGTTAGCATATTTCTTACATGTTCATGTAACAAGCTATGATGATATTGGTGAATACGTCAGAAATCAGCATAGTTGTATTATCATTCTAAGCATGTTTTTAAAATTTTGAAACTGCCATTGAATGACATCATTTGTATGTCAAATTGACCAATCAGGGGCCGTGAATTGGTACAATCTCCCTATTTCGCCATGGTAATGATGCATTGTTGGATTGATCCTAGAATGAATCTTAATTTGGTACGATCTTCAGATTAATTTCAGGATAAATCTCAATCCACCTCTAGATAAATTTTATCCAAATTTCAATGTAAATTTGATAAATCTTGGGGATTCCCCCTCATAATCCTTGGATCGTTCCAAATATTTTTCGGATTGGTAATATAACATTTATCCCAAAAGATAAAATTTATCTGGATTGTATCGCAGATTGTACCAATCCACGGCCACAGTGTCAATGTCTTCTCAATACACATTTACAGTGTAGACATATGTCTTGTTCAAGGTAGTTGGAAGTTCAATACAATAAGTAAAAATATCAGGTTAGGAAAGATACATATAGAATTTCATTTCTACTACATGGATACTGCGCAGGTTAGGTAGATCCAAAAAGCCCCTGCCCCCCCCCCCCCCCCCCCCCCCCAGTGTTTGTAGGTCTAAATAATAATATGAATGAAATTATGTTTATTGTGGTATTATTGTCTTCTTTGAACCCTGGGGTTATTCCACCTCTATCATCATCATCATCATAGTACACGATTCAATCATTTACTGATTACTACATCGCGGGTTAGTATGCATAGTAAAAGATAAAAACAGTGTTAGAGTAAAAGGTAAAGTTAAAATCGGTTTAAAAACAGTTACACAACAGTAAGAGTTAAGGAATTGGGTTTTGGTAGTAAGAACCCAGCGTGGTTTTAAAGCCTTCTAATGTTCCCGCTGTCACTATTGATTCTGGAAGTGAGTTCCATTCCCTGATTGTATTTGGGAAGAAAGACTGCAAAGTGACATCTTTGTTGTATCTGTGGCGGACAAAGGCTTGGCTGTTAGTTACTTGTAATCGTCTGGGTCTATTGTGGGAGGGGGGTTCAAGATATTGGTCCTTGGGAATTCCAACTAGGCTATTGTTGATTTTATAGAGCATGGTGAGCCGTTGTTGTTGTCTTCTCTGCTCCAGAGACTCCCATTGTAGCTTGGACAGCATAGCACCGACAGAGCTAACACGGTTGAAGTCATTCATGACATACCGTGCTGCTCTTCGCTGGGTCACCTCCAGAGCTTGTTTTTGGGTTGATGTGTAAGGGTCCCAGACACAGCCTGCATATTCAAGCCTTGGTCTAATCAGGGTGAAATATGCAGTCTGCTTAGTATGTTGAGGAGCTTTCCATAAATTCTAAAATCAGCTGATATTGTGACTTAAAAAATTCATGTTTTCTAAATCGATTTACTCTGTGAATGGGACCGCACATAGAATGGCAACTTATATACACGATAGTTGAAACATTACATAACATTACTGCAAAGTTTTGAAATGATCGGTACATGAGAGAATGAAGAAATCTTACGCATTTGCCCCTGTTATCAGAGCGACTTTTTGCTTCTGCATGGCCATCTAATAAGGATGTCAAACTTTGCTATAACGAAATCAATACAATCATAAACTAATTTTATACAAAATTACATATTTGATAGAATAAAACTATGTATCAATAATCACAGTTTATGTTACATTTATTATTTTACAGATTATTTTCATAAAAAGGGCCAAATTATTCATAATATTTTTTGTATTCGTTTTCAAAAGTTTTACATTTAACGTAACACTTGACCCATGTTGACCTACAAAATCAAAACAACAAATGTCAATTTTTTTAATGAAAATAACAATAATACACGATATGGGTACATATGGCACATCAACTTCATGTATGAGATAACACTACTTCCTAGAGCACAACCAAGTACAGTAGACAAACTTCAAATAGTATAGTGTTATTTCTCATCATAGATCTAGATCTAGTGTAGACTCTAAAAATCTAAACTTTAGCAAAGCTGAAAGGAATTTTCCATAAGCATAATTTGTGAGCTTAGATCACATAGCGAGGTACAATATAGTGCTTCTACAGATTGAAGCAATAATCATAATGGGAAAGGATAAAATGAGTGGCTCATTGCGTATGGCTATTTCGAGACATCAGTTGCGTAAAGTTCAAGATATTGTGCTCAACAATGGAATGCCAGTAAATTATCAATTTGCGGATGGTTCGCATGCAGTGCATCTTTGTGCTGAACAGGACGCTCATTACATACTGGATTTCTTGCTTTCTATGAAGGCAGTGCCTGATATACGAAATCACCATGGACAAACTGCTTTAATGCTTGGTGTTAAACATTCTAAGATCGTTGAGGTTTTAATTAAGTTTAAGTGCAATATCAACCTTGGTGATAAACATTATAGAACGAGCCTACATCTATCAGCATCTGGAGGTCATGATCAAACTGTTAATATGTTACTGGCCGCAGGAGCGAAAGTTAATGCTGTTGATATTTGGGGTAGAACGCCTCTTCATGTTACTCTCCTGAACATTGCCAGGAATGGCCCATTTGTCGATGACTATGTGCATATAATAAGGATGCTACTTGTGAATGGAGCTGGTGTTAATAAGAAAGACAATCAAAAGAATACACCCTTGTTCCTCGCAGTGAATTCAGGCAATATTGAAGTATTCAGAACACTTTTGAGTCATGGTGCTAATCCCGATCAGATTAGTCGTCACAATTTATCGCCATTGCAGCTCTCCGTAATGAAGGGTCAAATCGGAATCTTCCAATCTCTTATCCAGTTGAACTGTGATATTCCTAAGGCAATATCAACCAAACCAGGCCAACATTCAGCAAATGTTCGCAAAATCGAGAAAACATGTTTCCAAGCAGCAATTGATAACAATCAGATAGATATGGCAAGGGTGTTAGCTAATGCTGGGAGCCCGATTCATTGTAATGCTTGGCTGAATTCACGGAAAGGTCCTGGAACAAATCAATGGCGTGAAAACAAGGAAATATTTGATTGGCTGGACTATATTACCCAGAATCCATTGTCTTTACAACAAATATGTCGCATTATACTGAGACAATCATTGGGAAAACTTTTACAAAAGAAGCTAGCAACTCTGAAGTTTCCTGAAAAACTCAAAGATTATATTTTATTAAATGATGTATTAAATAAATAAAAAATACACTATCATCACCGAGGCAACCTTAAATCCTCAACTGTGAGTGTGAAGCGTCTTTAGAAAAGAACTCTCTGCCAAAAAAGGATGCTTTTCACAGATGATGGTGTATATTACATCAAATAATGATGAGCTTTTTAAAGGGAACTTATGTCATTAAACTCACTCTCTGAAACATTATGACATACCTGTTCAGGTGTTTACTTTAACAAGTTGAGTCATTTTCTGTATAAGTAGCTGTATGAACCCATTCAAAAAAGATGATGTTTTTTCTTTATAAAATATAAGTCATAGACCCTTTCAAATACTGTAAATCACATTTTGGAACATCAAAAAAAATGCAGGCCTATAGCCATGATGTCATTGGTTGTGCTTTTTCAAAATTAGCAATAAGTCAATTCTAATTTTACTATGAAACATTGCTACCTACAACCTATGACATCATCAATCTGTCCAATACTATATTCTAGTTCAGTAAAACCTGTGCATATTGTATTTTTTGCGGAGAAAAAATGTTCAGTGTTGGTAGATGGAGGAAGACAGGTTTTACTGTATATCATAGCTTCTTTTATGTGTTAAAAGGTGGCAGGGTTTAAAACTATGACTTGAGAGACCTGTGCAGACTGTCAGTTAAGGTAGATCTGTATGTTCAGAAATTTTAATGGCTTCCTAATTGGAGTCCTATGTTATTTTCAGGTACTGTAAGGATAATGAATATTCAAGATAATTTATATATGATTAAGAGAAAATTCAGTGACCTACATTTTTTCTATTAAAGGAATATTCCTTGCCAAACCATCTCTCTCCTCATATGGTAGCTATAACCATATATGTGCTTGCCATGTTTAGCAAAACAGGCAAAAATGTTTTGATATGGTCAAATTTGATCACTTAGAAATGTGATGCTCAATTCCAGTAAGCTGCCATCTTTTAAAATTTCACAAAGGAAGTGATGTCATCGACTCTCAACTTTGCATATAGCGTTAGGTGAGGAGCTATTAAGAATTACAAAACCAGCTAAATATTCTTTTTCAACTTTGTATCTTATTTAATCTTTCTGAAAATCTCTTCTTTTATTCTAAGTTGACAAGCCCTGAAAATATTTTTGCACAGAAAGTAATGATCACTTGTCTAGAAGTGATTTTGTGCTACTTTCCTATACTGTTATGGGCAAGGTTATAGAAGTTGAGAGTTGATGACATCACTTCCTGCAAGAAATCTTAAAAGATGGCAGCTAGCTGGAAATAAGCACTAGATTTTTAAATGATCAATATTGACCATATTAAAACATTTTCCCATGTTTTGCTAAATATGGAAACTATATATATGATTATAGCTACCATAACCATATCAAGAGAGAAAGGGTCTGGCAAGGAATATTCCTTTAAGAGGTAAGTCACAAAATTTTGAATTTTTATTACTGTACATTGTACAAAATTATTTACCCTCAACTAACTAATAGTAATAATCTAGATACTTTTGTGTACCATTTGCACTTGCGTATCGAGAAGATAACATCTGGAAAAAATTGGGGTTTAAGGCCCATTTTTGATAATTTGGCCTGAAAGGCCCTATACAATTCTTGGGCTCAAAATGTTTTTCCATGGCCCCATGAACAAACATAATTACCTTAAAGGGTCTATGTAATGTTCAAACTACATTGGCTCATAATTATACCCAATGTTATCAAAATGTGCTTTGTGAAAATTTTCAATTTAATTTTAAAATTGATTTCGAAGGACTTTTTGTTAAAGATATTGTGACTTTTTTCAAATAAAATTTTGGTTGACATATACCTGTATACATACATAACATTATTAATTGATAATTTCATAACATAACTGTTATGTATCTGGTTTCAGTACTGGTCATTAAGACATGTAAGATATCTGATACCCTTAACTGAGATTACCATGCTTATAGCAGACACTTGTAAGTCTGGCTTCCTACTAGAAACACATTAACTATGTAGTTCTTATATTATGTTTGATGTATAATAAAGTCTTGATACAAAACACAACATGGTGTCAGATGTGGGATCACATGAATAAGTAGATCAGAAACATTAACAATGGCAAGTGGATACTCAAAGATAGTGAAGGAATTAGACTTTTATGGCCCTAATCTCTCAGAAGATTGGAAGAGATGGAGAGAACTTATTGAACTAATGTTTGATTCTCCTGATGCCACAAAATGGAAAGAGCAAGAGAAAGCCGCTCAAATTCTCCTTCTCATCGGCGAGAAAGGAAGGGACATTTGCAGATCGTGGATTGCCACTGGGGTACTTTCTGAATCACAAAAGATGGAGTCTAAAACTTTCCTTGATAAATTTGAGGAATATTGTACACCCAAGAAAAACAGGTCGATCCAGAGGAAAATGTTCTATGAATGCTACCAGTCGAAGGATGAGTCTATTGACGAGTTTGTTACAAAACTTAGACTTATTGGCAGAGACTGTAAATTCCCAGATCTTGATGAGATGATCGCCGACATGATATTGACACATTGCCATTCAACACAAGTCCAAGAGAAGCTACTAAGATACGAGGAGGACCTCACATTAGACCATGCTCTAAAGATAGCACGCTTATACGAGCAGAGTAACGTCCATAAGAACTCTCTAAATTCCCGCACAGAAAGTGGACATGAGGAAGTCAGTATTGTAAAGAAGTCGCAGTCACAAAGGTGTGACAACTGTGGACTGATACATAGAGGAGGCACGTGTCCTGCGGCTAATGAGCAGTGTAACGGATGTTCTAAATTCGGGCATTTTAAAAGATGTTGCCGTAGTGGGAAATCTAGTGAAAAGGACTCTAGACAACGGAGGCAAGGCAAATCTGGAAAACGTAGAAACCCCCGAAAAGTGAACCAGGTGGAGGAATCAGTATCTTCAGAAGATGAAGTGTACTTGGGATCTGTAACCACTGAAATCCCAGACACCCAGACATCAAAGATTCCCGCCAAAACCCCAGATATACCAAACTCAAAATCCTGGATTATACAACTAAAAACAGGTGGGCACACCCTTACTGCTAAAGTGGACACAGGTGCCCAGGCCAATGTGATCTCACATGGACTGTTCAAGAGGTTGAGACACCCCCCTATGAAAGCTTTTACCACAAGGCTATTTACCTACAACAGGCAGCCCCTGGACGTCATGGGTGAATGTGATATGCCTTGTAACTTTGAAGGGATAAACTACAAAGTGAAGTTCATAGTAATTAAGGAGAAAGCTGACACTTTAATTAGTCTACAATCAGCTATTCTCTTTGGCTTAGTTTCCAGAAGTAACATTTCTACAGTTGGCTCTGACAGCACACTGACCACAGACCAGTTGGTGTCGAATTACAGCTACATATTTGAAGGCCTAGGCTGTCTACCTAGCAAAGTGCACATTACCCTTGAAGAAAATGTCATGCCTGTGGTACACCCCCCTTACAAGGTAGCTGTTCATCAGAGAGACAAATTGAAAACTGAATTAGAGCGAATGCAAAAACAAGGAGTAATTGCCAAAGTGGATGAGCCCACTGATTGGGTGAATAATATAGTTTTGGTTGAGAAGAGCGACAAATCTCTTAGGATATGCCTTGATCCTGCAAACCTCAACAAAGTTATTAAAAGGGAACCGTACCCTACTGCCACAACAGAAGAGATCAGCACAAGATTGAAAGGTGCTACGAGGTTTACCAAATTGGATGCGACAACCTCATTTTGGCAACTTGAACTTGATCACGAGAGTTCGTTGCTTACTTGTTTCAACACACCCTTTGGACGATATCGATTTACACGTCTGCCATATGGACTAAACATATCTACTGAAAAGTTCCAGATGGAAGTTTGTAAAGTTCTAGAAGGAATAGATGGCGTTGAAGTCCAAGTGGATGATATATTGATTTCTGGCAAAGATGAGGAACAGCTTAAGCATCGAATGGAAGCAGTGTTCCAAAGAGCAAGTGAGAACAACCTCAAGTTTAACAGGAAGAAATGCCAGTTTAATGTGCCATCAGTCACATATGTAGGACATACATGGTCGAGAGATGGACTGAGTATCCCGGATGATCGGATAAAAGCGATAGTTGAGATGAAAACCCCTACAGATAAACAATCACTGAGTCGATTCCTTGGCATGGTGAATTATGTTGCCAAGTTCGTACCACGCTTATCAGAGCTAAATGCTCCCTTGCGAGAACTACTGAAAGAGGATATTATTTTCGAATGGAATAAGCCACAGATAGAAGCGTATGAGCAGCTGAAAAAGCTTATAACTACAGCGCCAGTTCTCAAGTTTTATGACCCCAATAAGCCATCAGTGCTGAATGTAGACTCTTCAAAAGATGGTCTTGGAGCTGTCCTACTACAGGATGATATGCCTGTATGCTACGCGTCAAAATCGCTAACCCCTGCCCAACAAAACTACTCCCAAATAGAGAAAGAGATGACGAGTATATGTTTTGGAGCAACTAAGTTTCACCAATACCTCTATGGTAAGCCCTTCGTCGTGGAAACTGATCACAAGCCCCTGGAGGTGATCGCAAAGAAAGCTCTAAATAAAGCCCCAGCTCGATTACAAAGAATGCTTTTGCAAATGCAAAAGTACGATGTCACAATCAAGTGGAAACCTGGAAAAGACATGGTTATATCAGACACTCTCAGCAGAGCATGTGTAGACAGTGACACAGAAAGCTCGAAAATTATTGCTTCTATCATGAACGACATTGATCAACAAGCAGATGGATTACTTCAAGCTTTACCCATGTCTAAACCAAAACAGCAAGAGTACAGGAACGCAACCTCGAATGACCCTGTACTGCAACACATTATGGAATATTGCAGAATTGGATGGCCTGAAAAGACTGATGTACATGAGTCAGTCATGCCATATTACACCTTTCATGATGAACTTAGTACAGTTGATGGTCTCGTGTTCAAAGGCCTGAAACTGGTAATTCCCACATCAATGAGAGACGAAGTAAAGTCGCTTATCCATGAAAACCATATGGGAATCGTTAAAACAAAATCCATAGCAAGAGAGACACTCTTTTGGCCCAACATGAATTCCCAGATCGAGGATATGATAAAAAACTGTGACATTTGCAAAACCCACAGAAACGCCAATCAAAGAGAACCTATGATTCCACATGAGGTTCCTATGCGCCCCTGGGAAAAGATAGGTGTTGACCTATTCTCACATAATAACAAGGATTACCTAATTGGAGTAGACTACTACAGCAAGTACCCTGAGCTGTACTCACTCACCAGCACCAAGGCAAAACCCATCATAAATTGCCTAAAAGCCTCGTTCAGCAGAAATGGTATTCCTCAAACAGTATTCAGTGACAATGGTCCACCATTTCAATCATCAGAATATGTAAAATTCAGCGAAGACTACAACTTCGACATTGCTACATCAAGCCCGAATCTAGCAAATAGCAATGGCCAAATTGAAAGGACAATACAGACTGTAAAAAATATTATCAGAAAATCAGATGATATTTTCACAGCCATGCTGAATTTGAGAAACACCCCAATTGATGCGAAGATCAACAAATCCCCAGCAGAATTACTTATGGGTAGAAAACTGCGATCTAAAATTCCTACAAGTGATGTTCTACTGAATCCCCAAAGCCCAGATCCCAACGTTCGCACAAAACTTCAGCAGAAAAAGCAGATGGAGAAGAGAAAGTATGACCTCCGCGCTCGTCCCCTTGCCCCTCTTCAACCTAATACCCCTGTCAAAGTCCGTGAGAAAAGGAACAATAAATACATCTGGAGAAATGCAACAGTGACTGAGAAACTAGACTCGCCCAGATCATATCTAGTTGAAACCCCAGATGGAGGACAATTTAGAAGGAATAGGAGACATTTAATTCCAGCATAAAATGTGTGAAATGACTGTCAATAATATAGTGTAGACCCAAGACTGGAAGTGAAATGGAAATATCCATATTTGCAATGAAGGTCAAGGATAGACCAAATTAGCATATCAAAATAAACATTGTAGTAAGATTGTAGTAAACTCTTAGGTCAAGAACCTCATTAGCATGTAGTACAAACATATGCACTGGACATTTTATCAATGAATACTAAAGTTCATGAGACAGGTCAGATAGTTCAAATTACATGGCTAGTAAAGTTTAAATGAGCTCCCTTACAAAATATTCAGAATTAGTAATGATCATATTTCAATGAGATGACTGTTAAAAGTTTAACTTGTTTTTAAACTAAAAGAAGGGAGATGTTATGTATCTGGTTTCAGTACTGGTCATTAAGACATGTAAGATATCTGATACCCTTAACTGAGATTACCATGCTTATAGCAGACACTTGTAAGTCTGGCTTCCTACTAGAAACACATTAACTATGTAGTTCTTATATTATGTTTGATGTATAATAAAGTCTTGATACAAAACACAACAATAACAATTCATAACAAACATCTTTACCTATAAATAATGGTCCATAAATAATGTATTTTGCATTGAAAAGTGCATGAATATTGGTTGAAAAGTAAACAAGGACTTATTGTTACTCATAAGAAAAGTGGTTCAGAGAAAATTGCATCTTAGAATTTAAGTCATCAATTAATCCAATGGAACATAGATATTCAAAACATGATAAAAATTTATGAGTCAACTAAGATTAACTAAGGCCAACAATATCGCTTTTTATGAAAGTTTAGACTTGCTTATGACTATAGTCACTCGATAAGGCTGTTGCCACTATTACATTCAAAAATTAGGAATAGTAGTGTTATGTTACATGATGAAAATGATTTGTACCAAATTTTGGATCTTCCATTAGAAAATATCCTTATATCCTCATGCGACTGTTCTGTTTGATACAAATGTACGATGTTGAAAGTGAACAGTTATCATTGCATGATCAGCATTGTCATGTAATCTCCAAGAACCAATTTGAATTTGATTTAGTAATCATAATCTAGAACGAAGGAAATGGAGTTTTGACGATAGGCGAAAAATAGAACCAGACAAAAAGCGAACATGGCACTGAAAAACTGAACGTTCGCAATTCCAACGTAGTATTAAACGCCATCTAGCAACGTTCGTATTTCCATCGCAATATAAAAGTTACAAATGACCGCAAAAGTTAAATCAGCTTAGTTACAGCAGATTATCTCAGGTAACTTTATGATCCATAGGAATTTTAGTAAGATAAGACTCTTATCGAAAGCATGAAAGAAATTTTAAAGCTGTTGGAATCGAAATAGAGGAATAATAAAGTATTGAAATCTAACACCGCCTATTATCGCCCATCAGAAATTTGAGAAAAATGATAAAAACAAGAAAATGCAGCAAACTCCTCGAGTCGAGCTCTCCAAGTCAAAAAAAATCCTGACCTTATCGTATATCTGTTGATTATCCTGTTTATAACTGATTCAAGAGCGTGGCACTGAACGAACCTATATGACTATTTGTTTAGTTGTTGGTTGGGTAACATGTTTATGACGTCACAAATGATGCGAACAATCTTTAAACCAATCAGTGAAGTCTTTATTAATTGTTTGTTTAGTTGTTGATGTGGCAATACGTGTCTGACGTCACAGGTGATTGCATCATATTCCAGTAACGCCATTTTACGACATTGCATAATTTTAGCTGATTTTGGCTTCATTTCACTTTATTTGAAAGACTTAAAAATATGATAATGAGTCAGTATTTTTTCTTATAAATATTAATATTTGAATTTGAAGTCAAAGTTCGAAAATTTGATCAACTGATTGAAATCACATTTTAAAGAGGTGGAGAAGTGAATAATTACAGGAGCAAACGTGATCAATGGTTCGAGGTCTCCCGCAAAGTAGTCGCTACGCTCCTACTTTGCGCTGCCTTCGGCAGAGGAGACCTCAAAAAAAATTAAAAATGCTTGCCACTTATTAGCTAGCCGTACACCAATGGAACATGGTGGTACATCAAGGGAGTTATTGAGTTAAATATTTTCATGGGACATGAAGGGACAAGTTTGGACATTCCCACTAGATCTAGACATTCTTGGGACATCCCAAGTTGTCCCGGGACATTGTCTGACGTTGTCCGATTTTGTCCCTTTATGTCCAAAGAAAAGAATGAACAAGTTGCCATTTTCTAGTTTCATATGTGTTCTTACTTTTCAGGTGTAAAAACACACCTTTAATCAACAAGTTTCAGCAGTGAAAAAAACAGCAATGCAATCTTTGTCTTCTCCACTTTGCCGTAGACTTGGTGGGATACCAGTACGCTTTACATGTACTAGGAATTTCCATGGCTCTCTGACGCCTAATGAACTGTTGAATAGAATCAGAACATGCCATGCAAAGCATGGTTGTTGGAATTTGAAAGAGCTGCCTATAATTCCATCAAGAATATACCCTACAAAAGCTATAACCAACACACAGAATATTCGTCAGTTTAGCTCGCTACCAAAGACTTCATTCATTGGTGCAATCTTTAAACATTCAAAAAGTTGCAAATTTGAATCAACATTTAGCACATATAGCGATGGTACAATTAGTCATGATCAATTCCGCCATGAGCCACCTTGGAGGATATTATTCTTTGGAACTGATCACTTTTCACTTGCGAGCTTGAGAGCATTGAGGGAGAATTTGAAGGATTCAACATCCAGTCTTGTAGAAAGTATTGAAGTAGTCACTATTAACAAAAAGGTAAAAATACAGGCCTGTTTGCCTACAATTTCTTAGGTTATCTACAAAACATTATAGTGGTAAAATCTTAGTACAGTACATGACATTTATACATACCCCCTTTTTATTTAAATGTGGCAGTTAAAAGAATAGTTAATTCTATGGTAAAATGCAACTAATCAGTGAATGTATGAGGTTCAAGTTGCAAGTGGAAAATATGCAATTTACAGTGAAAACATACATTAAATGCTGATGGACTTATTTGTGTTCTAAAACAGGAGGTACAGATTTTGTTCCACATTTGCACAGTTTGGCACCTGCTACCTTCAAATGAAAGGGTTGTTTCAATAAAAACATTCATTAATAATTTATTTACTTTACAGTGTGCAGTGAGAGATTATGCAGAGCAGGAAAACTTGAAGATTTATCCATGGCCGAGTCCTGTCATGATGGAAAAGTATGACGTTGGTGTTGTTGCATCATTTGGTCATCTTATTCCGGGTAAAATCATCCGCATGTTTCCATAGTAAGTACTGTTTCATTTATGCTTTCAGAGGCATAGGTGTGTTGTATACCTATATTTTGAACAAGAGTAAAATATGAATGGTTGAAAACTATTTCCTTAGAAAACAACCAGTTTTTGGAAACTAGTATCAAGTTAAAAAGTCAAGGCAAAATACATAAAAATAGAGCTATTTCAGGCAGACTATCACCCTTGTTTGTTTATGAACACCCTTGTTTGTATATGAATTTCAACTAGCCCGATTCTCTTCGTTAGATGAATTTCAACGCCTGGTTACATGTATTTCAGTGGAGTTGTAAATGTCCATCCAAGTTTGTTGCCAAGGTGGCGAGGGGCATCCCCTGTGGTTCACACAATTCTTAATGGCGATGAGGTTACTGGAGTCACAATCACTGAAATTAGGCCAAAGCAGTAAGTTCTTGATCCAATTTTACATATTTCACCGAATATAAATACGAATGACAAAATTAAAATACTGTAAATATTTTAAACCATTAAAAGATTTAGACATTAGACATAGCAGAACCAAAAAGAAGTTTAAGACATGTACCTGAACGACAAAAAGATAAAGATACAATTACAACTAATTAACCACCCATCAACTCCAAATGAGCTACATGTGTTTGTGTGCTTCATCCTAGCTTTGACATTGGTCCAATCCTGATTCAAGAGCCATACTATCTTACGGAAAAGTTTTCAACTTTTGAGCTTCGGAAAATTCTAGCTGCCAAAGGATCTCAACTGGTATGTGTAAGATAGTTGTATATAGTAGTTATAAAAAGATTATCAGCAATATTTTTTTCAGATTTTTTGTATGTGCACTTATTGGAATCTCTCAATATCTAACCCTTTTAAATTTCAAATTTGGGACACACTGTGCGTTCATTAGAGAGAATACAGTTATTTTCTCAGTTTTGGTACCTACATGTATGGACTTCTCTGAATATTTTCTTGGCTTGTTGCAAAATTTACCTACTCTAAATTGGGATTTGTTCAAATTGTAAAGATTTTCAATTTCAATAATAAAAGAATTACACAACGAAAATCAAAATAAGAAAAGTAAAAAGAATGATCAAAGATTCACTATAATGTTTGTTTCAGTTAATGCGCTCATTACTGGATCTTCCTAAGCTGGAGAGATATGAGCAGCCACAGGATCCTTCAGGAATCACATATGGTGAGTTCCTCCTTTATAACAAATATGTCACAGTAGTCATCTATTTCTGTATATTTTACCACTGGGAGCTTTTATATATCGTACCACTTGTAGAAGCTTCAATGCATTGTAGTCATCTATTTCTGTATATTTTACCACTAGGAGCTTTTATATATTTTACCACTTGTAGCAGCTTCAATGCATTTTAACATTATTCAGGTAGCAGAAACATGGTTCTACTAATTTTTTTTGATAAATGAGTCCTTCAAGTTAATCTTCAGACAGTTTACTCTGGATTTCTATTTTAAAAGAGAAAATACTTATTTGACTTGACATTACGTGAGATATTTAGAACGGATATTTTTTGTTTCTATTCAGCTCACAAGGTGACCGCTAGTATGTCAATAGTGGACTGGGCCGATCAGACTAGAGATCAAATTGACAGGCAGCATAGAGCCTTGAGTGAAATTGTAAGTCAAATAAAATGTCAATTTCCATCAATGGAATTTTAAAGTACTCTATCCAAGGAGGATTTGCTCCCAGAATCAAAGTCGATATTTTCCAACAATGAAAATGCAGAAATGTCGTTATTTTCTGAAATTATAACTGATTATAAATTCAAAATAAACAGTTCAAAAGATTTGAACCAATATCTCGATCATTTCTTTTGAGTTTTGGAATTTTTCGTTAGGAAATAAGACTAAAATTCACAATTGAAATGTTGTAGTGAACAAAATGGCGTCTGTTTGAATTTGAATTTTATAGCACTACTCAATCCAAACTTTGTGTGAATGGTCAGTAAACATCAAAGGTGATGTTGGCACCTGTAGACATATTTATGCACTTTCTATTTGCATATAGCATCCCATCTGTTCTGAAAAATAGTTTTTATGTCAATGCCAGAAGTGGTGACATATTGTTATAGTTTCCAACTTTTTTGTGGATGTCTTCAGCAGTTGGAGTTTGATTGTCAACATTTGTAACAAATGGCAGGTGGTGACATTTTGAATGTTGATACCTTAGAATGAGCAAAGAGAAGATTTAGACATGAAAAATAAAACATAAATATGTTTTATTATCATCATCATCACATTACATTTTTATTATCTTCCTCCATATCTGCTGCATATTTTACATTCATTATTCATAATTTTTTGTTTCAGTTCATGCTCAGATCTGAATATCAAGATCAAGCAGTGAAGTTATTTGATATGGTAGACAAACACACTATGGCATGTAAGTACTGTAGATTTATTAAAATATGGAGTGACCCAAAAATCCAACCCTCTAGTTTTGTTTGATAGCCTTCCAAAAGAGGGAAATGAATAAATAAAAGATAGCTTTGAAATCTCGTTGAAGTCTCCTTTTTAATGAGATTTTAACCAAAGACCAACATCTTCTATGTGATGGCATATTTGAAATCTGTGTGTAATTTTCTATTATAGCATCTTTGATTTGCACAGTTATGTAGCACAAGTTTTCTGAAAAAGGTCAGACTAAATCACCAATGTTAAAAAATCTTAAAAAGTTATTTTTTGTTATCCAGTGTCTTCACTTTGAGGGAAACATTTCCTTTTTAATGAAAAAGTCATAGAGTAATCATGGCCAAAATAAAATAATTTCAGGCCCATAGCCAGGATTTGTCAAGGGCGATTCACTTTTTAAAAAATTCCAGGGGGGTTCACATTTGACAACTTGGCCCAAAAATGGCAAAAATCACTTGAAAAATGCTCAGAATGGTGAAAACTGCATGGTATTGAAAGAGCTTTTGTCTACGGGCCTGCATTTGACTCTCTTTTAAGACCATACATGATTTTTTGAGAATTCGTTGCCTAATGAACTGTGTTCATAAACTTTCAGCGGCTGTGGTTCAGGAGCAAATATACAAGCGATTTGGAGATAGCCACGTCCATCCAGGCACAATGATATACATTTCGAAAGAGAAAGTACTTGCAGTATGTTGTAAGGTAAGATCATGGTGAATATACACATACAGTGAAACCTGTATATACACATACAGTGAAACCTGTATATCCAAACACTGAATATACACTTACAGTGAAACCTGTATATCCAAACACTGAATATACACATACAGTGAAACCCGTATATCCAAACACTGAATATACACATACAGTGAAACCTGTATGTACACATACAGTGAAACCTGTATATTCAAACACTGAATATACACATACGAGTACAGTGAAACCCGTATATCCAAACACTGAATATACACTTACAGTGAAACCTGTATATCCAAACACTGAATATACACATACAGTGAAACCTGTATATCCAAACACCTCTTTAATCTGAACATGGCTCAATGTGAACACTTTTTCTTGGTCCCCTGGTGTTTGGATTAGACAGTTTTCACTGTACATGTATATATTTAGTACTGTTTTACATGAGCACTTATTTTCGTAACATTGATTTCCAAGAATATATTGATGGATAAGCTTTTTTTTTGTTCCAGGATGGATGGGTGGGATTCAGAAAAATCATTCACAAAAAGAAAATGACAGCTCAAGAGTTTAACAATGGATATTTGAATAAAAGTAAAGATCGCTTAATCCTGCTTCGAAGCTTGTCAAATACTTTGAATAAATATATCTTCCGGGTACGAGTATAGAAAAGCAGGTGACATGCAGGAATAATTAGCAGGATTAGAATTAATTATTATAATTAAATTGTCCGGCAGATTACCAAATTCTAAGAATATATTTGAGGAATAAATAATGATAGGACATTCAATATGGTGAAATTTAGCAGAGTTGTAACAGAATGTAGTACAAAGCATGAACCAAAGATGAGTCCATTGACATTCTGTTCAATGAGTGTGGAATTTCACCATATTGAATTATCATTATTTATTCTGATTGAAACATAAAAAATGAAGAAAACATTGTTTGTTTTTAATTAATTTGTTGTCATTCTCTCCTCAAAATTCGTCAGTGGCCATCCCCAGACAGAGCCCTGGAGTAACGTCACAATACATTTGCTTATTCCCCGAATGTACAAGGAGGATTGGAAGCCAGGGTTCCAACTCGATATTCTTTAATCTCCACGCATGCGTCATTTGCTATTCGTGTCTGTATAATTTGTACGACTGCATGGAGAATGACCCGATACTCTCCAACAAAGCTATCGCTAGGTGATTGTTTTGCAGAATATCGGTGTTGCATTCTGGGAGCCAATCCTCCTTGCCGAATGTACATAATGCACGGTCATTCATGTATAGAGAATTAGAAAACGGCTATGCTGCATTTTGATTGGTTGAGAAATTCAATTAGAAAACGGTTATGTTTGAATCTTTCATCATTCACACTTACATGTACAAGTTGTTTTTTTTGGACACAAGATCTTTATGATTAATTGCATGCCAGGCGACTAGAATATTCCTTCATTACTTGAAATTATTTAATGTTTGCCCATGTGTGTCAGATGTCAAACGTTTTTGCCAAAAGGTCAGGAAGATTCTACTTTCATCTCTTGAAATAATGGAAAAAGAAAAACAGTACTCTATTTTGTTATCGAAATCTTGGAATAAAATCATGTTTAGTATTTCCAGCCGAAATGGATCAGTTGTGTAACCATCTTGAAGAGTTCCTACACAGTAAAGGAATCAGTTTGATAGTCAAAGGATCCTATAACCGCTATATACAGGGTGTTTCATATGTATGCACACCCCCCCCCCCCCCCATAAAATCATACATGTACAGGGTGTGCCAAAAAACGCCACTTTTATTTCAAAATGCTATAACTTTTTTAATTTTTAATACAAAATCATAATTTGCATACCAAATGAAACTTGAGGTTGTTATCTAGCCATGGATCATGATTTATGCACTTTTACTTGAATAAAATATGTCACCAGCGTCTCACTTACACATGTGGTGTGCCATGAGAAATAAGCATAATTTGCAAAATGTTCCTGAACTGATATGGCCTGATGATCGCCAAGCTAATAGCCCTGATGCAAACCCCAGGGAATATAGGGTATGGAATTAGGTCTACAGAAGATTGTATGAAGGCATCCAATCTAGAAAATTGCTCAACTAAAGCTGGCAATTAATATGACAGGTTGAAAAAAACTTCGCTAACATTTCATTGATACTGCTATATCAGCAAGGCGACTAAACCAAAATATATCATCATGGCACACCCTGTAGTATCGCCACCCTGTCATGTTATATGGCTTGGGAAAGCTATTTTCCCCCTTAATAAACGCCGATCTCTCATGAGAAAAATGTTTTTCCCTCTCAATAAAGGCCCGTGGGCGTTTATAAGAAAAACTTTCAAATAAACGGCCTGTGTAAAAAAGACGCCCGTGAGCCTATTCGCGAGAACTCTGGTAGTCATTTTTGGACTCAGTCCGGTGATCTGTTCACTTTGTCTGCTAGCCATTTTTAGTAAACAGGTAGGCACTAGGGTCCCTGGCATTCCTATAAGCGAGTGCATTAGCATTATGCCGGATGTAGGAAAGAAATTGAAAAATCGAGCCGGCATCTAAGTCGAAAAAGTCGGCAGTTTGGAAGTATTTTGGGACTCCGATATCACAAGGTAAACGAATTGGTGATATTACACCGTGCAGACTATGTGAAATGCCGATCACATTCGCGGCAGATGCTTTACATTCAATTTTAATTGATGTTTTTTTTATTTCTGAATATGATTTTGAAAAGTGAAACTGAAAGTGAAACTGTCATCGACATTGGATCATTTTAATGTTCCCTTTTTTACGGTTTTTCAAAATGGCTAATTCATATTTTGGTTGGCGAAAAATTTTTTGGAAGATTTAGCCACAATGGCTAACAAGTTTTTTCAACTATCGTGATCTCTGAGTATATACCATATATCTCCTGTACTAGAGGTACAATGATAATAAAGGCCGCGGCGGTAAACGCCCACGCTTGTGAAAACACTGTCCAATGATAAAATTGATCCTTTTTGAGAACGTCTACGGCTGTCACTACTGCTGGCCATACTATAATGAGTCCGATACTCAAAGTTATCCCAAAAACGATGGCTGTAATGTATGGTGTTTAAACTGCTTCTTTATTCGGTACATTAATATTCCATAAATTCCAAATGAAACAAACAATTTACCAAACCTTTACCCAATCTATCGAATGCTTTTTTATTTTATCAAATGTAATAATCTATACAATTTATATTCGCTAAATAGTTTCACTTGTTCTTTGTATTGACATTCACATTTGATATTTATACATGTATTTGTGTGATGCAGCGAATCAATTTGTTTTCCTTAACGCACGTATAATTCAATTAATTATTTGTACATTCGGTATTTAAATTATTTATATTCGGTAAATACCGAATGCCACATTCGATAAATTTCGTTATTTTTCGATAATTTACGAGACTTTCAGTCACGTGATATATTGTACGATGTAGAATAGCTGCGCGGCCATTTTGCAAATCTCAAAGTCACGTGACAAAATATCGAACAACAACGCAAGTTATCGAATATTACTTTATTGCATTCGGTAAATAGCAAATTAGCTTTCGATAAAATGCATTAACTATGTCATAGAAAAATATACCATTTGGTAAATATAGGCAAACTTATTTCGGTAGGGTTCAAATAGAAATTCAATATTGTGCATATACTGTGTTACTCTTAAGGAATACCATAACAATTTACGCAAAAAAATTTCATTTAACGAATGAAATATGTAATTTAATGCACATAGTATTAAGTGATTGGCTATTTTGAAAACTTAATTTGCTGTAACAAACATATAAACGTTTTTACCGAATGGAAAAATGATTTAGCGAATATAAATGTTTCATATATCGAATATATTTGAATTTAATGAATAAAGAAGCAAAAATAATGCCATAGTAATGCGAGCCTTCTTGAATATTTTCGCCATATCGAGCATGTTGTGGTCATCGTCGATTCCAAAGTCGTCTTTGTAGGTCTTTGCCCGTGGATGAAGAGGATTTTCGATGTTCCTTGTCTTTTCCCATTCGTCGTAACTGCTGTGATTTGTCCGATCGATGGTGCAAAATGAAACGACAATACATATGATACCACCAACACCAATGGACACGCAATTTCCAACTAACATGGACACTTCTTGGTATGTGTTTTCTAGAAAATGTGTAAGACCACCTGGAAAGGTCGAAGCAGTCCCCAACCATGATGCAATTCCTGCGACACAGCCGATTATTGCCCCTGAAAAAAACAAAGATAACTTAACAAATAAAGCTTTCTGGGAAAATCAATTTCTGTTTCAACTTCTGAGTAGCACTTAAGGCAGAATCAGATCTACCATGTATTCAACATTATACATGTTATAATATTGACTAAAACTGTCTCGATTTTAGAATATTTTGGGTTCATATAATTCCTTGTTATTTTTGTTTCCTAAAAGTATAAACTTTATTTTAGGAAAACTAGAGACTTTTACAATATTGCATTAATTTGCCTATAAATATTGTTACCACTTTTATTATTTGGGACAATTTTAACATATTGCCTGCTATTTTGTCAACCCCTATAAGTAAAGTAAGCCTTAAGTAAAATTGATTACTACGATACTAAATATGTTCGTTCTATTTTATTTTTCAAAACTTGCTAATATGTTGAGCCTTCACGCGTTTGTAACTATGGATATTTATGAATGAACCTACCAGAAATCATTCCCTTGGCTGTTACTCTGTCCCACAAAACACTCAAAGATATAGGAATGACTGAACTTCCGATCAATACCCCTGTAAACAAGTACACCCAACCCAAGTTGAGCCCAGCAGCATTGGCTAACAACACCAACGGGATGGTAAACAGAGTAACCCAGAGTATACACCAATTTTTGTAGTTCATCAAGTTGTCCTGGTACTGTTGGAATAGGCCGTGTGTTTTACAAGTGTAAGGATGGGGTACACCAAAGTTGGACTTCTTTTTGCGAATGGCGTGGCTCTCATTATATTACATTCTTCACATTCTGTCATCGGTTTACATTGACACACTACATCTTTGTCTATTGAAGTCTCTACCGCATTCAAACTCTTTTTTGTTCCTTCTTCAACAAGTATTTGGCCACAAAGCAGACAATTGCCATCGACATGGTCTTTTCTGATAGAAACAGCAATACAACAAGGCATTAACATGACAAAATGTCACCACCTAGTTAGGTCAAATTTTTTAGTCAATTTGAAGCAAGTTGAAAAGAGACCTTTTTGACCTTGAGAAGGTCATTGAAGGTCAAAGGTCAAATCTTAAGTCAGATTTGAACTTCTGAAAAGATGTAGATGATTTTGAAAAAAAAAATTGGTCAATTTGAAGCAAGTTGAAAACAGACCCTTTTGACATTTTTTGACCTTGAGAAGGTCATTAAAGGTCAAATGTCAAATCTAAAGTCAGATTTGAATTTCTGAGAACATGTAGATGATTTTGAAAAAAAAAATTAGTCAATTTGAAGCAAGTTGAAAAAAGACCTTTTTGACCTTTTTTGACCTTGAGAAGGTCATTGAAGGTCAAAGGTCAAATCTTAAGTCAGATTTGAACTTCTGAAAAGATGTAGATGATTTTGAAAAAAAATTAAGTCAATTTGAAGCAAGATGAAAAAATACCTTTTTGACCTTTTTTGACATTGAGAAGGTCATTGAAGGTCAAATGTCAAATCTAAAGTCAGATTCGAATTTCTGAGAACATGTAGATGATTTTGAAAAAAAAATTTAGTCAATTTGAAGCAAGTTGAAAAAAGACCTTTTTGACCTTTTTTGACTTTGAGAAGGTCATTGAAGGTCAAATGTCAAATCTTAAGTCA